ACATTTTTTCAAAGAAGACATACATATGGCCAACAGATACATGAAAAGATGTTCAACAACACTAATCAGGGAAATGGAAATCAAAACCAATGTGATATCACCTCACACCTGTCAGAATGGCTCAAATAAAAAATATAAGAAATAACATGTACTGGCTAAGACACAGAGAAAAAGGACCCCATGCACCATCAGTGGGAATGAAAATTGGTGGAGCCACTGTAAAAAAAGCATGGAGTTTCTTCAAAGTATTAAAATTAGAATTACCAAATAATTCAGTAATTCCACTATTGGGCATTTACCCCAAGAAAATAAAAACACCTATTCAAAAAGACACATGTACTCCTGTGTTTATTGCAGCATTATTTACAATAGCCAAGATAAGGAAGCAATCTTGTCCATTTATAGATGAATGGATAAAGATGTGGTACACATTATATAATGGAGTATTACTCAGCCATAAAAAGAATGAAATCTTGCCATTGCAACAACATGGATGGATCTAGAGAGTGTTATGCTAAGTGATCTAAGTCCATCAGAGAAAGAGAAATACCATGTGATTTCACTCATATGTGGAATTTAAGAAACAAAACAAATGAAAAGGAAAAATAAGGAGATAAGCACCAAAACAGACTCTTAACTATAGAGAACAAAGACAGGGTTACCAGAGGGGAGGTGGCTGTGTATGTGAGTAGGTGAAATAGGTGAAGGGGATTAAGAATACACTTATCTTGACAAACACGGACTAGTGTATAGAATTGTTGAGTCATTATATTGTACATCTGAAACTAATACAATACTGTATGTTAACTGTATTAGAATTAAAACAACAAAAAAAGATGTGTTGGGATGCCTGGGTGGCTCAGCAGTTGAGTGCCTACCTTTGGCCCAGAGCGTGATCCCTGAGTCCCAGGATTGAGTCCCACATCAGACTCCCTTCATGGAGGTGCTTCTCCCTCTGCCTTTCTCTCTGTGTGTCTCTCATGAATAAATAAATAAAATCTTAAAAAAACCCAAAAAGACGTGGTACATACATACACACACACTTTTTTTTTTTTAGTTTTAGCAAAGTTTTATTTCAACGTTTCTTTTCTGCTCATAAATGATTCTGAAAAAGCCCATACGCCAGAGGCAAACCCACCCTTGTCTAAAGGCAACATCAAAGTCACTGAGAATGCTGCTCAGACAAAACCTTCCCCGTACTGGGGTGCAGGCAGCATGACCTGTGGGTTTGGGACAGAGGAATAAATAAACATCATCTCAGCTCTACCATCAGCACTGGCAGCCCAGGACCCCGAGGCGGTCCATCAGACTGCCCGGCTGACAGCGCAGAACTCCCAAAGCCACCCGGATGCTTAGATGTACTGGGGAGATGCTGAGGCTTTAGGAGGGCCAAGGTGCCCCCCAGAAGAGCCCTCGGCCAGCCCCCTCCTCCTACTCCACACACACACACACACACACACACACACACAGGAATATTACTTAGCCATAAAAAAGAATGAGATCTTACCATTTGCAACAACATAAATTAACCTAGATGGTATTATATAATGCTAAATGAAATAAGTAAGACAGAGAAAGACAAATACCATTATGATTTCACTCATATGTGAAATTTAAGGAATAAACCAAAGAAAAAAGAGACTAACAAAAAACAGACTCTTAAATATACAGAAAAAGCTAATGGTTACCAGAGGGGAGGTGGGTAGGGGGATGGGTGAAACAGATCAAGAGGATCAAGAGTATGCTTATACTGATGAGCACTGAGTGATGTACAAAATTGTTGAATTATTATACTGTACACCTGAAACAAATATAACACTGTATGTTAATTACACTTGAATTTTAAAAAATGGAATATGAAACAAGATATATATTATATATCATAAAGAACTAAGATCTAGAAGTTATGTAATAAAGTTTTCTTTAGATGATGAGATTATAGGTATGTGCTAATTTCTTCTTTTGGCTTATCAGCATTTTATATATTTTTTTCTACCATAAGCAAGCAAGTAAATATATAAGCAGGATTCCAGAGGGCTTCAGAATGGCTATCTTAAAAAAACAAAAAAGAGAGAAGAAAGAAGGGAATATTGAAACAAAAGAATGCAATGAAGATATGATAGAATAACTAATGTGCCTAAATATATTCTGAGAATTAAACTTTTTGGGTGAGTTTGGGAATGATAAGACATGAGAATGTAAGTTGCAGAAGGTCAGAAATTATTGTTTTGTGCACTGCTATATCCCCCAAAGTTTAGAATGTGTCTAACACCTGGTGGGAAACTTTGTAGATATTTGAATGAATTAACAAATGAATGAGTACACAGAAAATTAAATAAGGCATTTCTAAGCTCTAGAGAAAACAATTACATAAAAACTGAATTTAATAATCATATAATATATGGCCCAGCTGTGTAAAAAATAGATACAGTCTTAATGTAACCATCTTCTGATACAACTATGTTGAGAAGACAGAAGGAAGGGAAAAGCATGTGTGTAGGAGGGAAGTGAAAAGGGAGAGAAGGAGAAGAAAGATATGGAGGGAAAAGTGAGAAAAAAGGCAGAAAGCAAATACATGGTTATCTGTGAGAGCTAAGTCATCATCTTTCATAGCAGAAAGCTAATACTTAATGCCTACATAAATCCGTTGTTCAGAAATATGGATATAAATGTAGAAGAAATAGATAAAAGAAACATCTACAGAGTACTGCTGCTCCAGTGTAGAGGAGGCTGCTATTTTGCATAAACCTTATTGAACTAATTGAGTTTTTAAACTATTCATAAGCTTGATACCAACTGTAATAAAAGTTAAATAAAAAATAATTATGGCAAGTCATGAAAAGACAAATACTGATTCTACTTATTTGAGGTAACTAGAGTAATCAAACTTATAGAAATGGACAGTTGAAAGGTGGATGCCAGGTGCTCACAGAGAGAGGAAATGTGGAGTAGTTTGACGGGTACGGAGGTTCAGTTTTGCAAGATAAAAAAGTTCTGGAGATGGGTCACATAACAATGTGAATATACTTAATATTACTGAACTGTGAACTAAAAAATGGTTGAGATGGTAAATTTTATATTATGTGTATTTTATGAAAATTAGAAGATAGTAGAACTGTTTGAACTGAGAATTCTTGGGTTCTGCTTCTGGCAGTGACTGATGAGTGGTTTCCATAGGACCAAACTCCCATAATTAACAATATAAAGTCTGGGAGGCACAAAAACAAAAACAAAAACAACGATAACAACAACAAAAAACAACCAAACCTGAAGCACTGAAGAGTCACTGAAAATAAGCAGAAACTGGAAGAGGATTAGCACTTGAGAAGACAGTGGCATTGGAGTTTTCTTAATTTTTTTAATGGCTTTCAGCTGAAGGTCAATCTTAAAGAAGCAGAGGACAGAGTCTGAACACCTGAAAGGGGAAATCCTGGAGAGGTCAGAGAGAAAGAGTGAAAGCCTCAAATTCTGTGTAACAACCCTGCCAGTTCTGGCTGACCCTTGAACTACATGCAAATGAAGCGGGCTCAAACATCCATCCCAAGAAGTTAAGAGTTCAGCAGTGATTTTCACTCTTATTCAAGGGAACCAGAGCTTGGAATTTGAATTCTATCAAGTTAACTGTTTGCTAGCATAAAAATTAACATTGTTTAGAGTACTATAACTGAATTCCAGAGTCATTCACAATCCCAGGAAACAAAAAAATTGCTAAATGTACAAAGGAAAACATGACCAATACTCAAGAGAAAAGCTGATCAATGGAGACAAACCCCACGGTGATCCAAATGTTGGAACTGGAGGTAAGCACTTTAAAGGAAAAATACATTTGCAATGAATAAAATAGAAAAGTTGAGCAGAAAAACAGAAATTTTAACAAAGATCTGAATGGAAATTCTGAAACTGAAAAATCCAATATCCAATAAAAGTAAAGCATTCTATGGGCTTAACAGCAGATTAGAAATAACAGAAGAGTTGATGAATTTGAGAACAGAACAATAGATATTATCCACTATGAAGAGTAAAGAAAAAAATTCTAAAAAATTACCAGAGAGTCAGGGACTTCACTAACAGTCTAATATATCTATGAATGAAATTCAAAAGGAAAGAAGAAAGGGAATGGGTGAAAATTTTTTCGAAAAAATAATGGCCAAAAATTCTTCAAATTTCATGAAAAGAGAATTCTCAAACAGTTTTGGGATGAACACTATTTAACTTTCATGGAAAGCAACTGGGCAATGTGAATCAAGAATCTTAAAAGGGGGGATCCCTGGGTGGCGCAGCGGTTTGGCGCCTGCCTTTGGCCCAGGGCGTGATCCTGGAGACCCGGGATCGAATCCCACGTCGGGCTCCCGGTGCATGGAGCCTGCTTCTCCCTCTGCCTGTGTCTCTGCCTCTCTCTCTCTCTCTGTGTGACTATCATAAATAAATAAAGAAAAAAATATTAAAAAAAAAAAGAATCTTAAAAGGATTCATATATACTTTGAGTATGTAGTTCCATTTATAGGAATCTATACCAAAGACATAGATAAAGTAAAAAAAAATATTCATAGAAATGTTCTTCAAGGCATAATTTATAATCGCAAAAGCCTGTACTATTCAATAATATGCTAAAAGAGAAGAAATACATGTTATACAATAAATATTTGTTGAATGAATTAATATCAAGTTTTCATAAAATAAATTATTGTATTAGAAAATAGGATCCAGTGAAAAAAACATTATGCATAAGCATAATCCTATTACTCAATATAGAATATATATTATTATAAAAGAAAGAAAGGGGGAGAGGGCTCAAAGGATCATCTCTGAATGGTAGGATCCTGAATGATTTTTATTTTCTTCCTTACACTTTCCCATATTTTTCAAAATTTTATAATGAGAATGCATTTATTCATATTATCAGAAAACTGGACCTATATAAAGCTATAAATACATGCCAAACATATCCTTAATATCTATGTCCTACATGTTCTTGCTTTCCACCCACCAGTCAGGTTTACCTTGGTCCAGAGTCATCCCCATTCATATCCAGATTGAGTTCCTGGGGTTTAGTAAACTCTTTAGCAGCAAGGAGTTCTCTTGATTTAAATGCAGCTTGAGTTCTTAACCTGAAAAAGTAAATTTAGAAAATTTCTAATCCTGTAGAACCTAATAACTGAATGGTAACCCTTGGAAGACCATATTCTTTTAGCTAGACCTCCAGCAATCATTTTCAAATTAAAACTCAATCTATCAAAATAAATAAATAAATGGATACTTCCTAAATACACAGATGATGTAAATAAAATAAAATAAACCAAATCAGTTTTACAGGAACTTAAATTTTCTTTATTTAAGAGGAATTGGGGAAGACTGAGTTGGTCAGAATATCATTTAAAACATTCAACATTATAGATGTTTTAGGAGTATTTTAAATTTCTTCTCTAAAAATTTTAAGTTTCTCTCCATTCACTTCTAAGCAAGTATATTTTGATCACCAGAGTCTTAATGGCAATTCTAGTAACACCAAGTAACGCTGATCCTGCCCAATATATCCATCCATAGGAGGCAACTACTTCCCATCTTGACAATTCAAAAGACGGGGGCTATGTCTCATTGGACAATGTGTTTTCTCAGGATCAAAAAAAAAAAAAAAAAAAAAAAAGCCCTTCCTCTGCCAAAACTGTAAGAAATTCTATCCAACAATGCTAACTTAGTTCCATCTTCAATGTGACCTTTTCCTTTTCTACCTATTTTTATAAGTCTTTTAGAAATATTCTCTGGTTCATTTTTAGAAATGAAATCTGTAGAAATATATTATTTATGAAATAAAACTATGAAGAGGTAAAAATACTATTAAAACAGTATCATTTCCATCATTGTCAAAGACATTCTTATAACTGCAACTAACTGCACAGTAATATACAAAGAAAAATATGTAGACTAGTTACCCTCTAGGAACTTAAAATTTAATAATATTTGTTGGTGACATATAGGTAAGGTATGTAAATGCAGAGAGGAGGGGTAACTACACTTAGACAAAATCAATAGTAAAAATTGTAAAAAGAGACAAAATCACTGTTTAATAATAAAAAGGTTGATTAATCAAGTGAATATTAGCAATTATAAATATATATGTACCTAACACTGTGGCACCAAAATTTATTAAGCAAATATTTACATATTTTAAAGGAGAAATAGGCAACAATATAATAACAATAGATGACTTCAAAACTTCACTTTCAACAATGGATAGATCATCTGGACACCATTTGACTTGGTGTCCAGAAACATTTGACTTGAATATACTTTATATAAAACAGACCTAATAGACATATGTAGAACATTTCATTCAACAGCAGCAGAATATGTATTTTTTTTTTCAGGTGTAAACATTTTCCAGTATAGATCATGCTAGGTCACAAAAAAACTCAACAAATTCAAGAAGACTGAAATCATACCTTTTCCAAACACAGTGGTATAAAAATAGAAGTCAGTAACAGGATGAAAACTGGAAAATTCACAAATAAGTGGAAATTAAACAACATACTCCTCTGAACAATCATGAGTCAAAGAAGAAGTCAACAGGGAAATTAAAAATCTTGAAACAAATGAAAATAGAAACATAACATACCAAAACTTATGGAATGCAGCAAAGACAGTTCTAAGAGGGAAGTTTATAGTGATGTCTACATTAAAGAAAAAAGAAAGATCTTAAACAACCTACACTTACACCTCAAAACACCCCCAAAAGAAAAACAAAGGCAAAAGTTAGCTGAAGGAAGATAATAACAATGACCAGAGCAGAAATAGAGACCAGAAAAATAATAGAAAGGGTTATTGAAACTAAAAGCTGTTTTTTTAAAGGATAAACAAAATTAACAAACTTAGACTAAGAAGAGAAAAAGAGCAAAGACTGAAATAAAATGAGAAATGAAAGAGAAGACATTATAACTAATACCACAGAATTACAAAGGATCATAAGAGTCTACTATAAATAATTATATGTCAAAATATTGGATAACTTAGAAGAATCTATGATAAATTCCTAGGAATATACAAACTACCAAGACTTAAATATGATGAAACAGAAAATCTTCAGACCAAAAGTGACTAAGGAGATTAAATTAGTGACCAAGAACCTTCCAACAAAGAAAAATCCAGGATTGGAGGGTTTCATGGTGAATTCTACTAAACATTTTATTTTTTTTTAATTTTTATTTATTTATTTATGATAGTCACAGAGAGAGAGAGAGAGAGGCAGAGACACAGGCAGGGGGAGAAGCAGGCTCCATGCACCGGGAGCCCGATCTCCAGGATCGCGCCCCGGGCCAAAGGCAGGCGCTAAATCACTGCGCCACCCAGGGATCCCATCTACTAAACATTTTAAAAAGAATTAATGCAAATCCTTCTAAAATTTTTCCAGAGGCACTGGGTGGTGCAGTTGGTTAAGTATCTGACTAAGGTTTTGGCTCAGGTCATGAACTTAGGGTCATAAGATGAGTCCTGTGTGGGGCTCCGAGTGTAGAACAGAGTCTAAAGATTCTCCCTCTCTCTGTCCCATCAACCTGTGCTCACGCTCTCTCTTTCTCTCAAATAAAATACATAAATCTTTAAAAATAAAATGAAATAAAATTCTTTCAAAAAATTTAATAGTAAGGAGCACTCCCAAACTCATTCTATAAGGCAGCATTAGCCTGATACTAAAGCCAGTTAAGGACACTATGAGAAAAATAAAAAGTCAATATCTCTAATGAATATAGATGAAAAAAATTCTCAACAAAATACTATCGAAAAGAATTTACCACATTAATAAAATAAGAGATAAAAATCATATGATTATCTCAATAAATGCAGGAAAAGCCTTTGGCACAATTCAACATCCTTTTTTGATAAAAGCTCTCAGGAAATTGAGTATAGAAAGACTATATAACTCAACATGATCAAGGGCCATATACCATAAGCCCACTACTAACATCATATTCAATGATGAAAGGTTGAAAACTTTCCCTTTAAGGTCAGGAACAAGACAAGGATATCATTCTTGCCACTTTTATTCAATGTAATACTGGAAGTGCCAGCCTGGGTAATTAGGTAAGAAAAAGAAATAAAAGATACTCCAATCAGAAAGAAAAGTAAAATTGTCTCTCTTTGTAGATGACACAATCTTATATATAAAAAACAATGAAGATGCTACCAAACAACTGTTAGAACTAATGAACAAATTCACTATAATTATAGGATACAAAATCAACATGCAAAAATCAGTTGCATCTCTATACACTAACAATGAACTATTTAAAAAAGAAATTAAGAAATCAATCCTATTTACAATTGAATCAAAAAAACACTTAGAATGAAAAATTAACCTGAACTGGATTAAAGAATTAAATATAAGACCTGAAACTGTAAAACTACTAGAAGAAAACATAGGGAAAAAGCTCAGGCAACAATAATAAAATAAGTGGGACCACATCAAGATAAAAGGCTTCTGCATAGCAAAAGAAATAAATTATAAAAATGAAAAGGCAACCCATGGAATAAGAGAAAATATTTGCAAATTATATATATGGCATGGGGTTAATTATATATATATATATGACAAGGGTGATAAGGGGTTAACATTCTAAATATACACAGAACTTACACAACTCATCAGCAAAAAACCAAATAACCCAATTAAAAAATTGGCCAAGGCACTTAAAAGACATTTTTTCAAAGAAGACACATGAGTAACTAATAGGTACATGAAAAGACGCTTGGTATCACTAATTGTTACAGAAACACAAATCAAAACTATAGTGAGATATTGCCTCACACCTGTAGGTTGGCTTTGATCAAAAGGAAAAAAAAAGGTAACAAATATTGGGCAGGATATGGAGAAAAGAGAATCCCTATATGCTGTTGGTATTTATGTAAGTTGGTACAGCCATTATGAAAAACAGTACAGAGATTTCTCAAGAAAATGAAAAACAGAACTACCAAATGATCCAGCAATGCTACTTCTGGGTATCTATTTAAAGGAAATGAAGTGAGTATCTTGAAGAAATATCTGTACTCCCAGGTTCCTCTCAGTGTTACTTGTAATGGAAATAACCTAAGTGTCTGTCAACAAATAAATGGATAGAAAAAGACATATAATATATATATATATATATATTCAGTTATAAGAAGGAAGGAAATTCTGTCATTTGCAATACCATGGATGAACCCAGAGGAACATTATACTAAGTGAATACATGAACATACCAAAACTTGTGAGACATACTTAAAACAGTGCTGAGATGGAAATGTATAGCACTAAAAGCTTCCACCAGAAAAGAAGAAAAGTCTCTAACCAATAATCTAAGCTCCCACCTTAAGGAATTTAAAAATAAGAGGGCAAGATAAGTCCAAAGCAAGCAAAAGGAAGAAAATAATAAAGAAATGAATAAAATAAATAAATGAGACCAGTATTACCTTGATACCATAATTAGACAAAGACAGCATAAAAAAAATACATTCCAAAATTCCTCACCAATATTGATGCAAATGCTCTTAACAAAATAATAGTAAATGAAATTTGGTAATAAATAAAAAGTATTTACACTATAACCAAATGGGGTTTATTTTCCAGGGATGCAACACTAGGTCAATATTCAAAAATAAATAAATGTAATCTACTATATTAGCAGGTTAAATTTTAAAAAGTCACATGATCACATCAATTTATGCATAAACAAGAGTTGAGAAAATTCAACAAACATTCATGATAAAAACTCTATAGAATGTATAAGAAAAAATTGATAAATTAAACTTCATTAAATTAAAATCTTTTGCTCTGTGAAAGATCCTGTTAAGAGATTAAAAGGATAAGCTACAGAATAGGAGGAAATATTTGCAATCCACATATCTGAGAAAGGACGTATCCAGAATATATGAAAAAGCTCTCAAAATTCAACACTAAAAAAACCTTAAGCAATCTGATACGAATATAGACAAAAGTTATTAAAGAGACAATTTACCCAAAAAGATGGAAGAAGGGAAAATAAGCAAATAAAAAGATTTTCAACATCATTAGCCTTTTGAGAAATGCAAATTAAGACCACAACAAAATATCATTATACATGGAGTAGAACAGGCAACATAAAAATTTGTAACAATTCCAAATACTGGTAAGGATATAGAGAAACAGTCTCTTATACATTGCTGGTGAAGTATTTTATACTAAATGTAGTATAACCTAAATGTACATTTAATTTTTTTAAATTAAATATATGCTTACCATGTGATTTACCAGTCACAGTCCTAGTTTTTATTTGTAGGAATTAAAACCGTAGTCCACACAAAAACTTGTATAAAAATGTACATAGTAGCTCTCTTTGTAACAGACAAAAAACCAAGTTGTCCTTCAATAGATACATGGTTAAACACATCATAGTATAACCATATCATGGACAACTACTCAGCAATCAAAAGGCACAATATATGTAACAACCTAGATGTATCTCAAGAGCATCATACTGAGTAAAAAAAGGCCAATATCAAAAGTTCACACACTGTATAAATCCATTTATAAAACATTCTCAAAATGCCAAAGTTATAGACAAGAAATTATTGGTTTCCAAGGGTTAGGGATAATGGAGGTAGAAGAGGGTGGGCAACTCAGATGGGGTAGTAAAAAGTAAATCTTGATTGTGATGAAATAGTTCTGTATTTTGATCGCTGTGGTAGTAATGCAAGTATACACACGTGAAAAAATGGCATAGAGCTAGACACACACATTGTACCAATGTTAATTTGCTTATTTTGATATCGCATTAGAGGTATGTAAGACATAGCCACTGGGAAAAACAAGGTGGGGCTCTCCATAGTATTTTTGCAACTTCCTGTCAATCTATAATTATTTTAAAATAAAAAGTTTATTTTATTTTTAAATAAGATTTTATTTATTTATGAGAGAGAGAGAGAGAGAGAGAGACAGAGGCAGAGACACAGGCAGAGGGAGAAGCAGGGTCCATGCAGGTAGGGAGCCTCACGTGGGACTCGATCCTGGTACTCCAGGATCACGCCCTGGGCTGAAGACAGGTGCCAAACCACTGAGCCACCCTGGGATCCCCCCCAATAAAAAAGTTTATAAAAGTTTTATAAGTATGTATAAACGTTTCCAATTTATACATAAAACAAAACTTGCTCAAAAACTGTTTCATAGTTCTCAGCTAGATGATCAAGAGAACAATAAAGACTTTATTGTCATTATGTGGCATTATTTTAATAAATAGTGCTGTTCAAATGAACACAATGTCTATTTGCAGTCATTATGTAGCATTATTTCAATAAACAGTGCTGTTCAAATGAACCCGAAACTTATCCCAAAATTATCCATTTTCCCCTGCTGGACTGTGCCCCCTTTAAAGACCACATTTGATTCATTTTTTTTATCCTAAGGGCCTAGAACCATTTCTCACCTATCACAGGCATTCCATAAGTGTTTGTTAAATATATTGTCAGGAGAGTCTACACATTAACTGGAGGATTAGAGACTGGGGTCATAAAACTGAAGCAACCTTTTGGTGTTTGGTGATAATCTTGTTACAAGAACCTTCATTTTCAGTTACGTTAAAAGCCTCCAATTTTCAACAATGAAAAATGTAACTGTCTGACTATGAATGAAGAGAAAGAGGAGGAGCATTTCTGGTTCCAAGAAAAGTATTACAGTAACAGAAAAATGTCAAGGTGGAACTCTCAAGGAAATTACAATCTAAAAAATATTGGGTGGAATCTTTGAGAGAAAATGAAAAAGTAAAAGTAAATGACATTCATACTAGATATGTATAGGATGTATGTGTCTGTATAGGATATATGAATGAGTACAAAGGAGGAAATCTAAGTTTAAGAAGGAAATGGCAGGGATATATACAAGAACCTCCTTATGAAAACTTGTAATTTATTTTTTAAAGACATAATTGAAAAAAGGACATAAATGTCATATTATGTTTAAAATATAATTTAGTCTGATTTATTACTAATTTTGCTTGAATAAATTAAGATAGCAAACTTTTTTGATGCTGCTATGTAATCTCAAAATACCAATATAGTTTTTGAAGCACTGTTCTTAGGGAAGAATTGTTAAGGGAGGAAAAGTTTAAATGCGGGTACATTTATAAGAATTGGTTTTTGAATAGGTTCTGCTTCATGATGAGAAAAGGTTGAACTGGAAAGGCTATCATCTGTTATATTTTATATTACGGGGGATAGACAAATATGGAATGGTGACAGTTAATCACTCTTCTTCACAATCTGATTCCACATTCTGAAGTCTCAAATTTTTACCTAATGCCCAAAATTCTCTACAATGATCTCAAATAGCAAAGGATTTTTTATAATAATATCTTTTAAAAATATTCTTTTTGGAATCCTGAGAAAGTTACAATGGATTGTTCAGAAGTAGATACATCAAGCTAACATTTTGGAAGAACAAGGTAATCTTCCAAGTCTTCCAAAGAAGATAGTGGAATTTACTTAGTTGTCCTGGTGAAGTATGCATCTTGAGCAAGCCAAGACTCTGAGGAACCTCTGTTCCTTTGCAAATGTTATAGTAGCACAATTATTTTATTAACATTGTGCTCTCCAAGCTACAGACATTGCTGAAAGAACAACTAAGACTCACCAATTGTAATCCAGTCGAGACTGATGAAGCTGCTGCTGTTTTAGGAGAAGCTTTGTTTCCTGCTGGGTCAGCAGATGCTGAAGGCGCTCTTTTTCAATTTCCAGCTCCATTTTCTGAAGCATAAGTTGCTGCCTTCTGTTTTCTGAGAGTTGCTTTTTGATATCGGTTTCAGTAGACTTCTGTGTCCCTTGACCATGCATCAGGGAATCCCAGGAAAGCCCACAATAACTGCATGATTCCAGATGTGTTCTGGAATATTGAGGGGCCATGCATGTAGGATGGCTTTCATGAACAGGATCTGCATTTTCAGAAAGTCTATGACCACAACACTGACTGGATAGAGTAGGCTTCAGGGTGTGGCATTCTTTCATCTTTAGTTCCACTGGTGGAGCCTTCTCTATAGGGACCGCATCTACTAATCTTCTCCCTAGGGATCCATAATCACATGTTCTGGTCTCTGATGGCATCCTGTCTAGATCCTCTTTGGAATAATGAAAGTCTGCTGGTTTCAAAGAATTATTCTTGAACTCCACAAGGGATTCTGAAGCTGAGTCCTGGTTTGCACACCTAGGCCTCTCCTTGTTTTGATAACAGGTTTGTGATTTGGCTACACTCAAGTAGGAACCATCCAGTTCCATAGCTGAAGACTGAAGAGTGCTTTTCCTATTGGATACCTAGAAGGAACCACAAGATCATTTGTCAAGTAAGAGCACACTGAAATGAGTTCTTTTGGCTTTTCAGAAATCAATGATATATTTGTACCAAAACAAAGTTGTTTTGCCTTCTCAAATAATAAATGATAGTATTCACAGAGCTAAACAGACATGTGCCACAAAGCTAAAACCATTTTGAAACAATCTACATTTCAGTCTATCCATAAGGATGAGAAAAAGAAAATGTTGCTATTTGCTGCTAAGCAAGATGACAAGAGTAGCAAATAATAAAGGTTATATAAAATCAACTTTGAGAAGAGGCAAAAGCATTAAAAGGTAATGTCTCAAAATGTTTACTTCTAAATACTAAGCAAGAAATCCATTCAGCCGCCCTTTGTAATACCCTTTGATTGTTCATTACACATTACACACAACAGGATTTGATGTAAAACATTTCATCCTAAACTGAATAGGATGTTAGTTACTGCTAGAGATTTGATGAATTTTTATAAATATCTTTACAGCACACAGATAAAACCAAGTACTTTCCAAAAAATATGATTCTAATCAAAAGCAGTTATTTAAATACAAAACATATTTAATTTCAGCTATAAATATAAGTGATTTTTCAATTAAGCTGTTCAAGTGATTATAGCCTGATACAACTCACACAGAAAGGAAGTAGTTGCAAATCACCTTTGGCAGGCCAATAGAGTGAGCTTTCCCAGTATTTTAGCCTCAAGCCTATTCTATTAAGGGGAGCAAAACTTAGTTTATTATCAGTGATTCTCAAACTTTAGCATATATCAGAATCACCTGGAGGAACTGTTAAATGTGAATTGCTGGGCTTCATCCCCAGAGGAATTCAGGAATTCTGCAGCAGGGTTGGAGAAGCTCATTTTTAGGAAGTTGTCAGATGATACTGATGCTCCTCATCTGGGACCACACTTTGACAACCACTTGTCTGTATCATGGGACATCTGACTCCTCCCGTGTCCCTATTATAGGTAGTGTTTTGATAACATGGGCTTACCCAGGTAATCCTGGATAATTTTCTCATGTCAAGATTGTTAACTTAATCATGTCTATAAAGTTTCTTGTCATACAAAATCCTTTGTGTCATATAAAAAGACATTCACAGGTTCTAGGGATTAGGACATGGGCATGTTTGGGGGCCATTATTCAGTCTACCACAACTTCTTTTTAAATTAGAACTCATAAACAGTTCAGATGTTTATCTTATTCTAGGGACATGGAATAAATGAATAATTGAGATCCTTAACATAAAGGAGAAAAAAATCCTGCCAATTTACTTTGCAATAGTTGCAAATGATGAACTGATTGGTAAAAAGTGTCAGCAGATATACAGCAACACCATGTTTCTTCTAGCACTCTTAAGATTTTGAATTAATACAGTAATACTAAAGGAGTTCTATTCTAATGAGGAGCCCCATTTGGGAAGAGGACATCCAATCCTTTATACTGAGCAAATGACACTGAATAGGTTGCATGCTACAGAAAAGAAACTTATGATAAAATTCATGATAAACTACCTCATAAAAATTAACTTTATTTTACAACTGAAGGAAAACTCTAGTCTACATCAGTCTCCCCTACACTGAACTTTTTAAAAAATATTTTATTTATTTATTTATTTATTTATTTATGAGAGAGAGAGAGAGAAAGAGTGAGAGAGGGAGAATGGCAGAGACACAGGCAGAGGGAGAAGCAGGCTCCATGCAGGGAGCCCAATGCGGGATTTGATCCTGGGTTTCCAGGACCATGCCCTGGGCTGAAGGTGGCGCTAAACCACTGAGCCACCAGGGCTGCCCTACACTGAACTTCTGTAGCACTGTCAAAACAAATATTTAACATTTATCATCTGCTACTTTGTATGGCAAGCTATCTTTTTATAGAATTATTATACTTAAAAAATTACAGGTAAATTTTTTAAAGGTCTGGAAACTTAAATCAACTATTTATATTTCCTCCCTAACCCATGTATTAGTAACACAGCAATAGCATGTATTATTTTATAGTCTTATTTTTGTTCCTTAAGATTATTTACATATGTGCATTTTTAGGTATTGATACAGCTGATACTTATGTTAATGGTACTAATTGTTAAATTATGTATTCGGAATATTAAAAAATTTTTGGTAGTTAACTTTTTCTGTTTTTGAGAGGCAGCTCAACTTAATGATTTTGATGCATACTTTGCTCAAAGAGAGCAATTACCAGCAATTCCCAATTACCTGATAGGTGACTGGGCATATTGGTAGGCAGGATTCTAAGATGGTCCCCAAGATTCCTGTCTTCTTAGCGTGCCCACCTTGTATTATCTCCTCCCACGGAGTGTGGGTAGTCTTTGGGAACATGACAAGATATGAATCCCATCATTATGCTACACTATATGGCCAAAGGGATGTTACTATTTAAGTAAGTTCTTTTTTTAAATAATTTTTTTTAATTTTTTAATTTTTATTTATTATGATAGAGAGAGAGAGAGGCAGAGACATAGGCAGAGGGAGAAGCAGACTCCATGCACTGGGAGCCCGACGTGGGATTTGATCCTGGGTCTCCAGGATCGTGCCCTGGGCCAAAGGCAGGCGCCAAACCGCTGCGCCACCCAGGGATCCCAGTAAGTTCTTTAAAAAAGGGTATAGTACCCTCCCTAATGTTAGAGATTGGCCTTGAAGAAATAAGCTAACATGATGTGGGAGGACCAATGAAGGAGGTCAATCAGTAATGATGTCTGGAGCAGAAGGCAGTTTCCAGCTAACAATGAGGTATCTATCATATAGATGCAAGAAACTAAATTCTGCCAACATACATGTGAGTTTGGAAGGGGATCCAGAGCTCCAGATTAGAATGCAGCCCAGCTGTCACCTTGACTGCAAATTTTCTAAGACTCTGAGCAGAGGACCCAATTAACCTATGTTGAACTCATCACCCACAGAAACTGTGAGATAATAAATGTGTGTATTAAACTAATAAATTTATAGTTATTTCTTACACAACAATACAAAACAAAGCACATTACTCAACTTTCCTGACTCTCAGTTTTCTCATCAGTGACCTCAATGACCTCAATGGTGGTCGGATGGGCAGTTATCAAGGGTGTCAACTGATAAGGGTACTAATTTACAAAATGGAAAAAAACCCCTTATGCTTACCCAAACTTTTTTCAAAAAGAATATTATAGGGGGTATGTGCGGGGAAGGTAAGATCTCCAAGAGACATGCGGTTACAACAGATTACTTCTAAAGAGAATGAGTTCAGTTATCTAGCTTTATTTTGCTGCAGTGAGGTTTGTAGGTTGGGCCAGAGTTGATATGCTTCAGATAATAGAGAGGTTCTTCATCTTTGTCCTCATACAAAAGATGTCAGTCTTATCCTGACATCTTGCACTGCCTCTTAGGGTTGTTGTACTGGATGAGATAATTCACATAAAGAGCTTTGGACAGTGCCTTAGCTAAAGTCAGTATTCAAACCATGTTTCCTATTAGAATTATTACTACTGTTGTTATCATTAACTTCTCTGCCTCAATAATCCTTGAGGTCAGGAGTTATATTTACTTCTCTGGGTGTACGGCACTGGGGCTTGCACATTGTAACTAGGGACTGATTGTATTAGATAAGTAGAAAAAGTCAAGTTGGGTTATGGACCAAGAAAACTAGAAACAAAAATCAGAATCCATGATTAGGCTGAATTGCGTACTACTAAGAAAAGGAAGAGAGAAGAAATAGAGTAACTGTCTGTTAGAATCTGAATATAAGAAATTAAGTTATTTTATAGTGAGCTTGAAACAAATATTGCCTTTGGGACACTGGGAAGTCACAATGGGCCTGAATGAAACAGATGTGTTTTTCTTTCTGGAGCTGATGCTCCATCCTTTCTATGAGATGTTTACAAATGTAACCTCTTTTAACTAAGGCTTAAACTAACAAATCCCAAACTGCAATCTCTGGCATATGGGTTTGCTATGAATTTTTCAGATATATAACACTAATTTAGGAACCAATAGATTTTTTTTAACGGAGGCACAATTTACATATACTAAAATGCACAGGTCTTAAGTGTACAGCTTGATGAAATTTTACATTTGCATATACCCATGTAATCATCATTACCCCAGAAAGTTCCTTGCGCCCCTTCTAGTCAAACCAACATTGTCACACTCCCAGAGGTAACCATTAATCTCAGTTCTATGACCACAGATTAGTTTTGCCCATGTTTAGCTTCATACAACTGGAATCATAAAGTATGCTACTCTTTTGTGGCTGGCTTCTTCTTTTTTTAAAGCTAGAAATCTTTTTTTAAAGATTTTATTTATTTATTTAAGACGGAGAGGTGAGGAGAGGGCAGGGGAAGATGAGAGAGAGAATCTCAAGGACACTGTGCAAGTGAGCACACAGCCCAAAATTGGGCTCCATCTCACCACCCATGGGATCAAGACCCAAGTTGAAATCAAGAGTTGGACACTCAACTGACTGAATCACTCAGGTGTCCCTGTTGCTGCTGGCTTCTTAAGCTCAACATAATTTTGAGCTTCTTTTATGTTGTTGCCTGTACTGATAGTTAATTCTTTTTTTATTGCTTCAAGGAATTTCATTGTATGAATATAGCAACATTTGTTTATTCATTCTTTTATTGGATTAGGTTGTTTCTAGTTTAGAGCTACTATGAACAAAGCTGCTAGCAATATTCTTATGTCTTTTTTTTAAGAGGGGGTGGGGCAGAGGGAGAGAATGAGGAAGAATCTTAAGCAGGCTCCAAGCCCAGCACGGAGCCCAACCCTGGGCTCAATCTCACAATCCTGGGATCATAATCTGAGCTGAAATCAAGTCATACGCTTAATTGACTGAGCCACCCAGAAGCCCCTTTATATGAGTCGTTTTTTAGATTATGTATTTATTTCTCTCAGGCACAGGGCAGGCATATGTTTGACACAGAAACAGCCAATAAAAGTTTTCCAGAGAGGTCGTTCTATTTTACATCTCCACCAGCACAGTAAAAG